ACAGAAGAGGAAAAGATGATGGCAAATATATTCTCTGGTGGCATGCTGTCATCCACAAATGTTTTCAGTGACCAAAGCAATGACTGAACTACAAAGTGCTGATTGCAGAGGTTGGGTTGAAATTGGTGAAATCCTCTACCACTGCTCACCAACACTTACAGTAATCAGTTACTTACAGGTGATGCAGTTTCAATGATAAAATCTTTTCTCAAAACGACCAGAAGATTAAAAGAACTGTTGTTTCACAGTGTGGACCATGTCTGCAGATTTTTTTAGTGTAACAGTCCAATGATTTTTCCTTCTCAATTCCTTAATAATTCAAATCCTCAGTTATCAGCAAAATGAGTGTGATAATTTCACTTTTTTTGTTTCAAGATCCGTTTGATGTTATTAAGTAACAAGAACATCCTCCAGCGCCTGGTATTTTGAAGATTCTGAATAATGAAAAACCAATGAAGTGACAGATTTACAGACCTTATAAATTTTGCAGTATTCATTAAATGAGCCTGGAGATCCTTGTCCTGCAAACATTTATGGAACTGCTTAAAATATAAGGTGCATTTATTAGAGTTTGTAAATGCAAAGAAGAGTCTAACACAACACTAGGATCTTAACTCAGAGTTTAATGGCTGCATTTTTTCCATCCATAATATCTGCATATAAACTGTGCAGAGCAGCAGTAAAGCATGATATATATTTAGGTAAAACGAGTGATGTATCTTCACTGTCCAGTTCAGGGCATTTCAGGCATCTGATTTAGATGCAGCTCTAAGTACCTGTGGTGGAAACGTAAGTTTCTGAAATAACTAATTCCTTTTAGACAAGGACCTCTATTAGGATCTCCATTAGTTGTCTGTTCTGGCCTAAATTAGTGTGTAATCCAGAGACATTTAAAATTAAATAGGTCAAATTATTCATATTGTTAAAATACATCTCAATCAGATTGTTTAGAAATAGCAATGGAAAAATGATTGTTATCCGTGGAGAAACTTAGAGCCACTCAGGAAAATGAGCCACCAAAACTGACGTCATATAAAGTCATAATTTTAAAAACAGATCTACAGATGAGACTTAAGATTGTAACAGAGTGAAATATGTATTTCTTTGTTCTTGTGAATAATGTGCTTGTTTATTAAGTAGGCAGAGCAGGAATTATGATGTCCTTAATTTCTCATTTCTTTGCTTGTCATTTTCTAAATGACATTGTAGGAGACTTCACTGTTGTCACCTAGCAACTATGAAGTATTTTTTTGGAAGAAAGAAATAAATGTACTTTTATATATGTCCCTTCCAATATTTTCTGTTCTTATGAATTTTAAATGAGAAAAGGGAATAATTTTAAAAAATCAGTATTTGCAATGATTATCTCCATCTCTTTTTTGAGATATTGCAGTTACTTTCTAGTCAGAGGGTCACAGTGAATTAGCCCTTGGCAAATATTTAATTTTTAATGGAAACCACTGCTGCATTGACTTAAAGCAAGTAAAAGCTTCACATTTATCCTAGAACGATCCTGCTGCTGCATCCATTGACCAGTTCTCATGTTGCATGTTCTGCAGTTCTGTATGTTTCCATTGTTTTCAGAAACAGTGTTCTTTCCTGATTATGGAAATGCATTCTAATAACTGAATGACAATAGATGTTGAATACTGAGATGCCTGCCGCAACAACAGCTGCTTTGAAGACTGTTTCATTTTCACATAATTCATGGGGGCTGGATAGCTAAAGTTTTGTGCAATTTGAGTTAAAGAAATATGTATCTAAAATGTGTTTAAAATTTGAGAAATGTCCTACACTTATTTTCAGTTCTCTGTTACCCTTGGTGGAACAACACTGCTTGGGAACGTATTTCTTCCTAATAGTCTGCATTTTTAAGAAACTTTAAGGGATGAAACAGGATGAATAGCCACAAAGATAATGTGTGGGCTGCTGTGCAGCAGCATCCCTAGAGAGTGATATGTCAGAAAAGACATTAAAAAAAATTCTACAATGAAAAATATATTTCTCACAAGTAAAGGAAGATCTTGACAGATCATCTGTTATGAGGTATCTGCTCTGTTCTTTACTTGTGGGACAAATGGGATTTCTCCATATAATTCATTGTGGATTATCGTTCTGTTGCAGTTTGTGTAATGGTAGCACATGGGGAATTTAGGAAATGACACTCCAGCTGTCTTCTACAATAACTGTTTCTTTTTATGCTTTCACACCGTAATATCTTTTCCTTCAAATTATCCTTTCTGTACACCTCTCACTGAAATATGTGTGTGCATTCCAAAAAGAATTTTAAAAAATGGGTCTCTGCATAAAGTCTGTTCTCTCTGTATGATAGATTTTATTTCAGTCACAAACTTGTTGATTAAAAAGAAAGAATAATCTGCATCTACACCTCTTTTTTCTATAATGCATGCTTGATAAGGAAAATGAAGTCAATATATAGGAACTGGAAACATAGATCTGTTTCTTAGTTTTCATTTTTGTTATGGTTATATTCTACGTTGAATATATATTGTTAGGAGATATTTTATCTGTAGGACTCGTTAAGCTTATCTTTGTTTTCAGAAGTTTCAAACAGATGGGAGAAATTGAATCCATGTATTTGTAGATGAGAAGCAGATGAGCTGCCCAGAAAAGTGCATTGCCTGTTGTGTATCTTTCCTGAATTCAGTACTGTAAAAATTTTTCCCAGTTGTTTCTAGAGATTTACTCTTAATTGATTTGTTTAAAATAATTTTGTGAAAGTACATTACTCTGGGACAGGGAGAAGCAGGGAGTCCCCGAGAATATATTTGAGTCCTCCATACTTCAAGGTGTGATTTGTAAGCTGTATTAGCAAGACTCTTTCTTTGTAATACCGCATGTGATGGTTAGTGGATGAAACTCATAACCATTTGCTACACAATGTCTTCTGTGAAGTAGTCTCTAGCAAAGGGACTGCAAGGAAACTAGAATTCTCTGTATTTTCACTACCTGAAAGGCAAAATCCTGATGAAGATGCTCAGCCAAGTTTTAGATAGAACAAACAGTTTGGTTTTTTGTTCTGCCTTCTGGGGCTTTGTTGATGAATATTTCCATTTTGCCTTGTGTTTAAATGGTTATCTCTCAGTGCTGTCTGAGAATAGAATCATAAAATCATAGAATGGCTTGGATTTGAAGGGACCCCAAGGATCATCACGTTCCAACCCCCTGCTACCGGTAGGGCCACCGAACTCCAGAGAGCGAACTTTGCAAGAAATTGTGGCATTGATCACTGTTTTTGCCCAGAGAGAACAATTCCTTATTCATTGTACCCTGATTTACTGCAAAAAAATTTTCCATCTAGTCTGAGCTCAGATTGCTGTGGATTTGAATGACTTGCTCGAGATACCATTGGCCAATAAATGATCAGATCATCATTTACACTTTTTTTGGCAAACAGAAACAAAATTATAAATCATCTTAAGATGTAAAGCATTTAAATTCTCTATCTTGGTAGGTAACTGCATTTTCCAGAGCTGTATCCAAAGGCAATATCCCATCATTAAGAAAAATATCATTAGTAGTAGTGAAGTTTAACCATTTCAATTTGCAAACTTTAAATTTTTTTCTAAAGAAGTGCAGAATACTATAGAGCAAACAAACTGAAACCATTTGATGCAGCCTCTGTTTTTCTCACGTTACTCTGTACAAACTTCTTAGAATTAATCCATGTACTTCCAGGAGTTTTCAAATTGTAGCAATTGTATCAATTTAATGAAAACAGTAAAAGAAAATTTGTTTTACATATCAGATGTCCCCGTGTTTCATTGACTTCAGAAAGAGATCAAGGGTTTATTTTTACTGTTATGCTCTTTAATAATGGAATAGTTGGGGTTTGAACAATAATGCATTTCAGGTGTGAGGACAAAGGACAGTGTCTTCTATTTCATGGGCATTATCTATTTTAAACCACTCAGAAAATATTGAGGTCCTGTGAGAAGCACAAGCCTCTTGATGTTTTCCCTTAGCTTGGGACTTAGCCATTTCTGACTTCTGATACCAAAAAAAAATAGATTATGTGCTTCATTCCAGTGAAAAGATCAAAACATGAGTTAAGGCTGGTCATTGTCCTGATAGAATTCCACTGGTTCACTTGGCAATTAAATATTTTTACTCCACAATAAATATTTCAGTATGGAATGATAGAATGCATCTACATTAAATGAGATAGAGACAGGGTGATGTCATGGTAAACCGTCGACAGGTGAAAATCAAGAAATTATGTAAATACGTGTGTCGTAAACTTACTTGCTGCCTGTATGCTAGATTGTATGCTTCATTAATGCAAATATATATTTTTAGGACCTTAAACTTTCTCATTTTTTATTGAATTTATTAACTACAGCACAAAGGTTGAGTGAATACTACATAGATTATATCATTCAGGAAATCATATCATTTTTATTCTCTGGCAAAAAATCACCTTGATGGCATAAGTTATGTTTTAGAAAAGATACGTATATGCTAGATTAATTCACCTTTTTTAATGCCTAAGTGTGTTTTGATGCATGAACTATCTGCCAAGAAGTAAGTAAAACTTGTGGATATGTCAGAAATAAAACCTGTTTGTACAGTGTATAATTCTGCACCCAAATACTGCAACTCCAGCACTGATGACGGAGCTCTTTCTGCTTCATCTATGTGAATAAGCAGAACCACACAGAGAATTTGGATAGCACAAGTTGAAGACTCTCTGTGTTACAAGCATGCAACTTTTGAAAGATTCACAAACACTTCACATGCAAATAATTCTTCGTCCTGTTATGCAAATTATTTCATGTCAAATTTTTGACAATATTTGGAGATATGCATAAATACCATTTAAACATAGAACTATATTTTTGCTCAACAGAAGAATCAACTAAATGGCATTTTAAACAACAATACCCATGAGTATTGTTTGCCTTTGTCCTTGGTTTATCCATAAGGTAACTTGCTGCATGCATTTCTTAATGTCACTTTGCTTTCTTTTCCTTTTTTAGAGTTTCTTTGAAGGACAGTCTGCACCGTGGGATTCAGCTAAGAAAGATGAGAACAGAATGAAAAATAGATACGGGAATATCATTGCATGTAAGTGTTGACAACATAATTGTGCACTGTGTTAACTTGTCTTCAGCACTGGATAAGAGTGGCCACCAGCCTCTTGCTTGCATTGAACCTATATTTCTTTTCTCCAATTAAGAGCATAAAAGTGAGGGAAGAAGTTACATTTTTTTGAGAAAACTGTCAGATTTAATGTATTTTTTCCACTATCCTACTGTATACCTCCATTCTGTGATTACCATTTCGTTAGTGTAAATTGACATCCTTAACCAGTGCTCAGCTCCGACTGCTCCCAAGCTGCTCCTGGCAACTTAGTGGAAGAACAGTCATGGTGTGATGGGTTAATCTCTTGACATTGGTTTCTGGATGTTGAAGGAATGGACAATACTGCTGCTTAAGTATTCCTTGATAACTGAGACAGACATTGTAAGTTACCCTATTAACAGTCTCTAGGGAAAAAGACAGAATACATTTGTTGTACTGCGAAAACTGTTTGATGAAGATTAGATATGCTGATAATCCAAAAATCTTAGTGGATGGTCATTTGTTTTGATGAGTGACCCTTAAGTCTAGCATTATGAGGTTTCAAAACACTGGGGCAAAAGGAAAAGAGCATGCAATTTACTGAAAAAGGAAATGAAATTTTCTAGGGAAATGTGAAAAACATAATGAGCTGGAGCATGTGTAAAAGGTGTTAACTAGTCAGGTTTTACTTGCTTCTCTGCACGCAATCTTTAATGTGTAACAAACTTGCTATCATGAGAGACGTAGCAATACATTAGATTAAGTGACTATCACCACTTAAGTATAAATACTGAAGGTGTAAAAAAAAAATTCCAAAGAACATTCTCTAGCTTTATGTTTACTATTGTTTTGTGACCTTTTATTTCCAGTCCAAGCCTGTGACAGTAAGTCTTTTAATCATTGTTTAGCTTTGTTGTCTGCTCTTTAATGTCACTTTACACGTTACCTTTCACTTTGACTCCCTTTGGCTGAAGTGAACAGGAGACTTACAGTACTGTGTGTCTGAGCAGAGGAAGTAATGAGTAGCAAAGAGAAAGCAAGTAAAAGATATTAGATACACAAATCAATGGCAATTACAAGTAATACTGAAGGCTGTCTAAGAGAGCTAACCTTACTCTGATCATTTGGATCTCGATTTACTTTTCATGTCATCAGTGTTTGTCTCACAGAAGGAGTTAGTGGAACTGTTATCAATAGCATTACCTATTTATGTTGCTATGAAGACATAGATAATGCAAATTAAAATTCACTTAGAGTAAAGGGCAATGTCTTAAGAGAAGCTGAAACTGCCCACAGCTTGTCATCTGTTAAAGAAACATATGGAAATGGAGTAGCTAACAGTTTAATTATGCTGTATGGTTTTCTGCTAATAAATGATTGCTTGGCTTCAAGTCTGAGAGTACAATTTTAGTGGTCCACTTTTGAAAATCCATCCCACAGACCTGTTTGAAGTACTGACTTTAGCTTTTAAAACATTTTACTAAATTGCCTTTCTATACTGTGTTTAAAGAAGTAAAAATACTGTAGATGGTTTAGATGCTATCAATTATATGATTATAGTGAAATGTATATTTTTTTCTGTAAAAAGTTTAATGTAATTTTTTCCATCCATTTATCCTCTTTGTTTAAATTTTCCCCAAGACACTACTGTTACATTATTACTTGTAGTCGTTATTGTTCTCTGAGGGAACTAAAACAAAAGCACCAAGCTGCCAGCAGTGTATCAGCTTGTCAAAATGGCAACATGCTTTACATCACCTAAGTGATGTGCATTAAATTGGCTGCAAGCATACCCTACCCTCTGTATGAAAGTAGCTACAGCTTGTGAGCCTCTATATCAAGAAGCTGAATCATGACCACAGTCCAATGACCTGCACGAAATGTGTTTCTTTTATATTGAACACAAAAGGCTTTGTGCTTTCTCGTTAACAACTAAAAGCGGAATCTAAGCTAAGAGAATCTAGCTAAGCTAGCAGAATCTTTTTAACTCAAGAAATATTTGGTATCTGTTTTAATAGTGTAGGATTATGCATAGAATTTGTTAAAATCTATTGCTTTTCTACGGGAGAGATCTTGAGGTAATTTCAAGATGAGAGAAGTTACGTATTTATCTTTACCTACCCCAGGATTGACTCAATGAAAAGAGGATATTGATCACAGCTTTTAAAAACAGCTAAGGATTTTAGCTGAGACATTTCTAGAAGGCTTGATTAGCAAACAGTTAGCGAGGCATGTCCCAAAAAAGTGTCATTGCCTAGGCGTGCTAATCAGCTGGCTACTCAAGGGGCTTGTTAGAGATCACAGGCTGCAGACTGGCATATCCATGTTGTTGGTAACGTGAGGGGAGCAAAATTGTTTGTAATCATTACCTGTTACCACTTTCTACGAAGACAAATGGATTCTAACATTCAATTCATTTTGGAAGATCGAGTGATCAGTGCAAAATTGAATTTGACAGAGAGGTAACAAAATAATAATAAAAGAGAATATTCAAAAACTAAAAATTGTTAAGAGCAATCTGAAGTACATGGGAACAAAAGACCTTCCAAATCTAGACAGTTAACCTAGAGGCTGTAGGTGGAATGCACATGTTGGACGGATATGTGGTTTCTGTACCACTTAGGCTTATACTTGGTGTAAACACAGGTGTATACACAGAAAAACTTTTTTGTTGACTGAAGAAAATTTTCTGGTTAAGAAGTGCTGCTACACAACATGGAGTTGAGTGAAGTTCTCAAAGGAATTAAAAAAAAATTACTCCATCTCCACAGCGTGTGGATGAATGTTGGAATCTCCATTATTTCCAGAGTAGCCAGAATCTTTGGTGAAAATGCAGGACATACGTGAGAACAAAAAAAGGGCAAAAAGATTATATGAAGATATAGTTATGAAGTAATTTATTTAGTTTTGTGTAATCTGAAGCATAAGTAACTGCAAGGAGAGAATAGTGTAAAATGAAATAATAGAAAAAGTAAAGATACTTACGTGGTATATATCAGTCTAAAAGAAATAACAGGAGGTCATATTTTTAAGCTGTTGCTTAATGGAAAATTTAAGTTTGGTGGGTCCAGTATGTAGCTCAGCAACATGCAGGTCATCAAAGACAGGATTTAGTTGCCTGAATATAGACATGCAATGCCATTTCAGGTGACCGAGGACATTGAAAAACAGTTGTACTGTTCCATACTGGCAGCTGAAGGCTGGGCTGTGTATAGTGACATGAGTGCTTGTGTTTGAACAGTCAAATTCAATGACCCTAAGTACTTCATGAAATATATAGATAGACATTTTTATTAGCCTGAGTTTTCCTGATAAGAATGCTTTTAGGGAAATGATGCATGAAATCATGAAAATATGGATGAAGACATAGCATGAGTCCAAGCAGGCTTGACTTCTAGAGTCTGTTGACTTCAGTAGAAGTTGGATCAGATCCTAAAATGGTAAAAGCAGCAACCATATCCAAAGACTAGAAAGTTTCTAATGTAGTATCTTAAGTAAGATGGACTTTCAGAATTACGAGCCTTTGAGCTAAAGCTCTGTTCTGAGAAAACTGATAAATTGCTTAATTAAGCAGAGAATAGCACAGCACTTGTGTAGCTTGATAAGGTCAGACAATGATAGGTTATGTAATGGAACATTGCATCTCTATACATTTTTAGTCTTGGAAAAGTGAATAAAAAGGCTGAAAAGGATGACCTGATTAACTTAATTGATTTGAGTATTCCTACATCCTTGGAAAAACTCATTTTTAAAGACTGTTGGGTGATGTAATCATAACAGACTTGCAGAATATTAGCTGTGCAGTACCGAGGGCTGCAAAGCTGTGAAAAATATATCTACGGCTATGCCCTTGCTGTCTCCCAAGGGAATCCCAGGGAAGACTAGACTTTGAGATGTGTAGTCACTGAGACATGGAGTATAAAAGGTTGAAATCACGAATTTGCCTCTTGCTTTCCTACTCATCCATTTGAAAACCTTTTTACTTGTCATTGTAAAACAATGTTATTTTAAGAACCACTTGCCCTCTCTTTCCTCCTCCACACTGTGGGCAATCATGCTACTTCTGAAGAAGTGGTTTATAAGCTACTTCATATTCTTTCATTAGGTTTTTTTTATTTGGTAGCACTTTTTATAAGTTGAAAAATATTAGCTATTGAAAACATGGGTGACGAATTTCTCTTGTGCTCTAGTGCTTATTTACATTTACAAAAAAATAATTACAATCAATAAGGCTTGTAGTTAGTTGTAAGTCAGATAGCAAGTGGCCTTCAAAAACAGTAATATGTAAGTGTGTAATCAGCACAATTTGATAGTAAATAAAGCAGCGGTAAAGTGGCTATTGACTGTGTCTCCATCCTTGAGTTGATCGACATCATACCCTTAAATGTCTTCAAAGTATTGTTTTATCAACAACTCGTGCAGATTCTGGAACAACAATAGTGTATAGTCACTTTTGAACCAAGAGAAGCATATTCCAAATTCTTGAAGAAGCCCTGCCAGCTCTCTGAGATTCCTTTATGGGGGGACATAGCCTCTAGCACTTCTTAATCACTGCTGTGGAATCATAAAGAAAATGAGGCAGCTGACAGGAAATAAATTCATACCCTGAAGTTTTGGATTGGAATTTGGAAATAAGGGTTGGAAGTGTTTGCTAATGGGTAGAATTCCTGGATAGATACAGATGGCAACCATGGAGCAAACTTCAGTGACAAAGTCATTATCTGACTGCTTGGGTTTTGTTATTACTTTATTTTGCTTTCTCTCTTATGGAAACATAATGAGTTTTTGTTCAAAACTGAGTTGACAGTATGTCTTATGGAAGAATTTAAATTTATTTTGAGTACTGGCATAAACATTTCCAAACAACTAAACCATAGAAAACTTTTATGTTAATTAGTGAGCTGACAAAAGGTATGATGGTGTTATCAAGGCAAAGAAAAATAATTGCAAAGGATTGCAAATTAGAAATATTTAAGATGTTCAGATTGAAAATGAAAGGGGATTTGGAAAGCCTCATGAATGGCCAAAATTAAGATTCAGTGTATATAAAGAACACTAATGGGCAAAGAAAACCAACCATAAACTTGCCAAGAATGACATATTATTTTTTCTTTAACGTTAAGATTTTGATGTATTCGTTTCTGAATGTCTTTAGTTACCTTATTTTTCTCTCCACTGTTTGTGTTTCAGATGATCATTCTCGAGTGAGATTGCAGCCCATTGAAGGAGAAACAAACTCCGATTACATCAATGGAAATTATATTGATGTGCGTATACTGATATAGTCAACAAACATAGCATTGTGTTCTAAGAGGCAGCTTTTACTATTCTCACATTATTCATTGTTTAACAGCTAATATCAGCTGCTAAACATTTTTGGATGGTACTGTCTGTGGAAGATAGGTGTACAGTAAAGGAAACAAGTAGTTGTGTTGGTTTTGTCAACAGGCAAATCAAAAGAATATTATATATTATATATTTCCTCAAACTGTCAATAGGCTGAAACTTTTACAGTGATGCTGTATGGCTACTATTGCTTATCTGGGCTAACAAAATGTTATTTTCACTTTCTGTCAACAGCTTGGCATCATTTCACGTTTAAAAGAAAGCTGTTTGCATATTAATGTGACAAAACTCTGTAATGCCTAATGCAGAGATTTGCAATCTCTTGTCATCTCTGCACTTTTAAGTTGCCTTCAAAGTATATTCTGCAGCTGTTAACCAGTACTTCCAATGGAAGCAAGACATTTCATTAAATATGTAGGCTCTTTAATTATTGAAGGTGGCTTCTTTGTTCATTCTGCATCATGTTAACTTAATGTTTTACATTAGAATAAATTCTTTAAGAGACAAGGTGGTTTTGGTTGAAAGAATGAACTCAAAAATAGAATTGAAAATCATTACAAAGTCAATACTGTGTAAAGTCATAAATCTGTGGATAGCAAAGATAATTATTTCATTATTTGCATGGAGTGCTAGATGTTTGGCTAAGTAAAACAAGTGTCACTTTATAAGAAACAGCATCTGCTAAAGATCTCTATTTACATCTGAAAAAATGGTGTCATAGTTTGCAGTTCAAATTTAGCAACCAATGTAAAACAGGAATGTAAAATGTTTTTTTCTCAGAGTACAGAAGAGCTAGAACTGTACAAGAAAAGTAGGTTTCTTCAGTTAAACAATCTGAAGTCTGAAGTTGTAACAGTCTGAGGATAACTCCCATTGATGTTTGTTAGTACATTCGATAACTATTAAGTGAAGCTTAGACTTCTGCTCGGTCCCTTGCTATTTGAAAGAATAGCACATTCACCAAGAGCTAAAAGCGCGTGTGGAAATTTGCTTAGACAGCTCACTAAACTCTGAGGGGAGTAATCTCTATAGGGAATCTCTCTGAAGGGAGTCATGGAAAGAAAGTGAAAGTTCACATTGAGGAGCTAGATTTGAATGCACTCTCAAACTGTTTCCAACATTCAGGATTGTTCTTGTTTTAGGCTAGTAGTGTGCTCTTAAGTTTAAAATGCTATAAGATGCACAGAATTTGCACCATACAGTTCTGTTGGAAATACTTGTAAGAGAGCAGAATAGCAGCCTGTTATTGCTTATGAAAGTACAAGAGGGATGAAGAGAATCATGATATCATGGAATGGTTGGGTTGGAAGACACCTTTAAGACCATCTAGTTCCTATTCCCCTGCTATAGCCAGGGACACCTCCCTCTAGGCCAGGTTGCTCAAAGCCCCATCCAACCTGGTCTTGAATGTTATCAGGGAGGGGGCAGTCACCACAGTCTCCTTGGGCAACCTGTTCTAGTGTCTCACCACCCTCACAGTAAAGAATTTCTTCCTGATATCTAGTCTAAATCTACCTTCTTCCAGTTTAAAGCCATTTCCCCTCATCCTACGTACCCTTACGTCCTAAATGAAATAATGAGTGAGAACAAAAACAGTATTTCCCTCATTCTCAGCAGGTGGCTTCATTGCAAAGCTTGGAGTCTTGCAGACATATTCCAAAGACAACCATAAAACACAGCATTTTTTGTTTATAATCTTGCTAGTCAGATTTCTTTTGGAAGTGTTTGTTTTTCTACTACAGAAGCAGCTGCTGTTTTTCATTTGCATGGGGTTATTGTTGCTGTGTTGTCAGAATAAACATCTCAATGAGAGAATTTCACAAACATTATGAAGTTTTCTTGGATAAAAGAAAAGGAGGCACTATTTATTCAGTATTTTTCCCCATGCTTAATTTCTTCAGTGGGAAATTGAAGCATTTAATCCCAGCCACTGGGATGCTAGGTAGCACACCACGGAAAAAAATAAGCTCTGGTTGATAGGTTTCTGAGCAGTTCTCAGTTCACAGAATTCCAGATTTAGGTTCAATGACATCTAACCAATTATGTAATTCATGTTATATTTTCTGTAATATTCGAGGTATTTTCAATTGTTTTGTGACTTTTCCAGCCTCCCATCACTACAGTCCCTCTTGCACTTTTACAAAGAAATTGCAGTGACATGAAAGCTTCAGCTTTAATTTCTTCCTTTGGAAGGCTGACAGTGGAATCTCACCACTTTTGAAAGATTAAAACTGGCATAACTGAGTTTATCAACATGCTTGCTCGTGATCTAAACCTTTGGTGACACTCTCGTAACATCAGAAATTCAAACACAATAAAAATGGTATTGTTCCCTATTGGTAACCTATTCAATGTTGCAAGAATCCATAGAGTATTAGTCTTTATTGCACAGCCAGCTTAAGTTGCCCTTGTTATCAGAGAAACATCGAATTCCTTTATGGTGTTTTTTTTATTTAGAAGTGAAGAAGTGTATTCATACTAAACCATTTAGTCAAAGAATTTACCCTCCTTTTTCATGTTCAGAAATATATCATAAATAAATCACAGAGGACAGAGTGAACATTCCCCCACCCTTCCTGGGGCTGAATGCAAATTGAGCATTCTGTAGCTGTTAAAAAAAGGGATAGGCTTTGCACTAAATAGCAATAGCTTGAAGGTATATCTCAGCCTCCATGAGCATCTCACACCATTAGCTGCAAGTGCTAGAGAGGATTTCATGCTGTTCATTTTCAGCAGATCCAACAAGGGACTTTGAGAACATATTACTTCTGTCCCCTAACGTACAAGCCTGCAACTTTAGCATCTTGCAGAAAACACATTTGCTTCTTGTTCTCCCTCTCCCTTGCTCTTCCTCTACCAGCAAAAACATTTGCATCTAGCACATTACCTTCATTGTTATGATTTTTACTGATAATTACTCTAAATGAAGTTTTACTTAAAGCAATGTAGGCAAGGTACACGCTGGTTATAATTTTTTTTTCCCCGATTTCTTTTAGGGTTATCACAGGCCGAATCACTACATTGCTACACAAGGTAAGCATTATTACTTCCTAATTTTGGTTATGTGAAGCTAAGAAGTCAATATTCAAGACAGAAAAGGTTCAGTCACTTAAGTAAAAGCAAACTGAATTGTTATAATCCAATTTTCACATATATCAAGTAAGCAATCCTTTGCCTTCATGTTCAAGTACAATTTGGGGTAGAAAAGCAACATAAAACCTTTCAGCAGAAGTTACTCATGTTTAGCATATTGTTGTTCGTGATAGAGGAAGTAAGTCATTGTAGAAACCCTCAATAAACTTACCAGATGGACAGCAGTGACAGGAAAACTGTCAGTACTAGAACTGTATTTTCCAGTATTGTTCAATGATATGTAGGCTCCAGGTCTTAAAATAAAATACTTTAATTAGCAAGTTTTAGTAGAGTACCCAAACACACATCATTCTGGCAGGGGAATTCTTCAAAGGGATTTGGAGAGAGAAATTTACAGGACATCTTTTAAAAACCTGCTTGTGAATAATAGCTTCTTTCTTTGTCAACAAACAAGGGTGTTTTCAATTTTTACCCATCTTCAAATACATATTTTGCCCATTCTGATGTAAGTTCTTACATGCTTTTAAGCCAAGCTTAGAGCTGTACCAGGTGAGAAAGTCTTCTGCTTAATCATATTATCCAACCATATGCCATTCTCTTGCCTGTGCTTGGATACCACTACTCAGAGAGAATATCCTCTGCAGCAGGTTTTATGTAACAAAGCTTCCTGTATTTTCCATTGGACCTGAAGAAGTTGAGCTACATCCACATACGTTATTTCAAAATGCGCCCAGAGTCCTAGCTGGAATACTGGGAATAATAACCTTGTTGAATAATCTTGTTGGATTTATAGGTGATATACACTTTTTTAATGATGTTTTATCAAGGCACAGGTTTGTCTGAGTCAAATAAGGGCTCTTATTGTGTATGTGTTTGTCTCCTAAGTAACCCAGTGTCCTCATCCTCCAGTCCCCACTTTTATCGGTGAGAAGATATTTAACTCTCCCGTTCTGTACTTCAGAGCTGAACAGTCTCAGATAACTGTTGGGAAGGATGTATAACCACCTCACCACTATCTTACAGTTTTAGACCAGAATTAAAATTTGAGGTCTTAGAACTTGAGCCATTTAAATGTGCTTCTTCTTCCAGGTCTATTATCCAGTCACCACATCATTCATTCCACAGTCTTCCTTCGTATGAATAAGAGAATATTAGGACAAAAACAGAACATGTGATTATTTCACTCTGGGCCTTTGCATCTTCTTCTTCTGAGAAGAAATGGATCAATCAATTTAACCTTTACTTGATGGTATTGTTTTTTCACCTGAATCCTGAAATGAAAAGATATATATTTGGCATTTTACTTGCAGGGCTTTTTTTTTTTATCAGGATGTTTCCCAGATCTTTCTGACAGCTTTCGTGTAGACCAGACGTCTCTGAAGCAAATTCTAATGGTTTCACTACAGCTTTATCACTCATCACAATACTTGGATAGCAAATAGAAACTTGAGGCATTTGTGCTTTAGCTTTTAAAGCCAAGTGTTGGATGCAATATTGTACTTAACGTCTATCTACTAGGTCAAGTAGCAACCCTCAACATATTATTAGTCACACTTATTTTCTGTTATAGTGTCAAGGAGAAGTAGCTAGTCAAGGTGAATAAGAATAGTACAAATTTTCTTCCAAGATGTAAAGAAAATGTAGTTGTTTGAGTTGTCATTCTTTCATGCAGGTGCCATCAGTTTTTTATGTGTAGATGCAGTGTAGAGCATGTCAGGGTACCTAATCACTCCCACAGTGCAATGAGTGAGAAAGTGACTGTCTTGTGATCATAAAATCTATTTTCAAATGGGCATACAATTTACATCAAATTCAAAACTTTTGTCAGCGAATTTTCTGAGGGATTGCCTCTTCAACATCTTATTTTTTAAGGCCAGCTAGGAAGCAGATTTGTAGCTCTGTTTTGGGGGAAATGAAAAACACTGATTTAAAAAGGTTTATGTTCTCTAGGTGGCTCTGATGAAGAATCATGAGAAATTTTTTTCCCTTTCTCTGTCTCGGCTTTCCAACCTGTAGAATAGTGTTAAAAATACTTATCTGCTTTATAAAGCTTTCTGCAGCATTGTGATAGATGCAGCTGTGTCAAGGCTACTTACTGTGATTTTCCAGCATTCCCACTTCCTGACAAAGCCTTTGCACGACAGTCTCTGCCTTTTGCAAAGGTGATAAGGTAACTGGGAATAATCTCTAAAACTCCTTTAAAGCTCTATGAAAGGAGAGGCATTTGTTTCACACTCCCAATAGAGGATGCCTCTTTATGACTTCCGTAGTAGTAAGCCTGTCAGGAGCGATAGCTCGCAGATATAGCCAAAGATGTTCGTGCTGTTTCAGAACACATTTTCATGTAGATATGTATAAACACATCAATTAAGCTCCATGTTTAATTCCCTTGATGTCTACTTTACATCAGTCTTAAAATAACTTCTCCCATTCTCCCTTTTCTCCTCCACCACATCTTTCACAGGTGCACATACCTATTGTTCTTTGAAGGAAAATATCATTACATGAGTCAGTTTGAAATCTCTGAGGAGTTAGAATGATTGATATTTAATTTTCCTATGTTCTTCTTAAGCTGCATTCAACATATCAAGTGTTAATGAGCAAATATAATTGTTTGAAGTAAAAAAGTAGCAAATGTAATCAGTTTGTAATAGACTACCAATCTGCTTTTAACAGAGCTGAGAGTTGCATAATCACCTGTTTATTAAAGTTACTGTCTTCCATACTAACCAGAGTTTGACACACAGACTAGTATCTTCCACCTTGGTAGTCTTAGCATACTGCTGCTAATGTTAAAAGAGAAATAAACGTAATTTAAAACAACTAATAATCTAAAAAAGGATTTGCTTGTGTTATAAGAGTAATACATCCAAAATGCGCATTTTGAATTGGAAAATCAGCAGCATTTTTCCTCTACATGGTAAGTATAATGTGACTGATAAACTGAAATTACATCTAGTGAAGACTTTTGGTGATCTTCTGTAATTGGTATCAACAGATGGATTTTGCACCTGAGACACCGAGATTAAAGAGAATCCTTTGTCACAAGCCAGAATATTGGGTCATGCAGAACCAGCAAGCTGTGACAATTTAAAATTCTCTGCTTTGTTTTATGTATCCCTTGTTTCCGTGGATATAATTCTTTAAAATTCTTTTATGGCAGACTGTCAAGGTCTTTTATGATCTGTTTAATTTACTACTAGCTAGTTGTTTCTTTTCTCCAGAAGTTAGGTGATCAATGAATTTTAACCAGTCATTTAGTGAGTGCAGTGGGTTTAATATCTGTACAGTACTTCACACAGCCTGCTGAATTTTCCTATTATCAGATGAATGTTGTTGATCTTGTATGTCTCACCCTGATTACCAAGCAGGAAAAATTGATCTCAGTATTTACATGTTATTTTTTCTTTGAAGTTCACATAGTCAATTGAGTTATGACTTCTTCTAACAAGTCTCTACCAGTGGTTTTGCAATGCTTCCTCCACCACTGCACCAGCAACCCTAAATGAGTGACAAATGAATATTGATATAGTGTTACGGCATCATTCATTGCCATTTCTACCAGGGCTGGTTTTCAAGCAGATTAATCGTGTATGAAGAAGCAGTTACCCACATGCAAGCTGCACTTCTTTATATGTGAAGTACATTCATCTCAGCATCTCTGATTTTTCAGTGAGGTACTCAGCTCTGGAGCAGACGCATTCCATGCCAAAGCAGGGAATTGCTCTGGCTGGTTGAGGGGTATCCCGGCAAGGGAGCAGCTGCCAGGAGCCATTGTCTTCCGTGTTGCAGTGATGTTCTGACGTGGTGGGGTTGGAGTCAGGAACCTGCCTGTAGGGAGCACAGTGAACAAGATGGGCAATCAGGGTGTCATGCATCAGAAAGGCATGGCATGGTAGTTGACAAAGGGGGTTTGAGCAGGAAGGGCAAGAAGGGCCCTTCCACTTGAGAAACTGACTCATCTACAGCCTGCCTCCAGGACAGTTAATCTAGCCATGATCTCCACTAGGCAGAAAGCTCTGTCAAGAAAGAATATGGTGACTCAGATGGAGTGCCTGCCTAAAAATATGGTGGTTCAAGTCCCTGGCTGCAGCGAGTGCCCAAGCCTGTTGCTGCCAGTGAAGGGCAGCGGGAATTCCACCTGCATGTGTTGTGAGCAGGTGGATGATGTATTGAGTATGGTGGTGGAGCTCAAGGAGGAGATGGAGAGATTAAGGGGTATCAGAGAGTACTGCTAGAGATAGATTGGTGGAGTGACTCTCTGCTGAACTTGTGAGGAAGACACAAGGGTGATACCCTCCAGATGGTAGTGGTAGTGGAGACGATTTAAGGGAAGAGGAGGAGTAGAAACAGATCCCAGGTTGGCATCATAAGCTACCTCCATCCCAACCTATCTTGGCTCCCCATGTGCCCCTGCATAATAGTTTTGAGGTTCTGGAACTTGAGGCAGAGGTAAGTGAGAATGTGATGGGAGGTCCACCCGTGAGGTTGTCTAGGATGAGGTGGTCAACTCAGCACCTCAAGACTGCCTCCACCAAGAAGGACAGAAGGGTGATTGTTGTAGGCAGCTCCCTTCTGAGAGGAATGGAGGGCTCTGTATGTTGGCCTGACTCTACCTGCAGGGAAGTGTGCTGCCTCCTGGGGCTTGGGTCAGGGATATTTCTAGGAAACTTCCAAGTCTGATTCACTACTCTGATTATTATCCTTTATTGATAGTTCAGGCTGGCAGTGCTGAAGTCACTGAGATAAGCCTGAGGATTATCAAAAAGGACGTCAGGGGACTGGGGAAGTCAGTGGATGGAGTGGACGTTATTTTCCTCTGTCTCTTCAGTGGCAAGAAAGGATACTGAGAGGAGCAGGAAAACCCATCTTATAAACACGAGGCTGATAGGCTGGTGCAATCACAAGAAGTTGGGATTTTTTTTTTACCTGGGGTGGTT